CAGCCAGTTGGCTCAGTGGTTGAACTTCAACCTATGAACCAGGAGGTCACGGTTCAATTCCCAGTCAGCGCATATGCCCGGGTTTGGGGCTCAATCCCTAGTGTGGGCCGTGGAGGAGGCAGTCGATCAAGGATTCTCATCATTGATGTTTCTATCTCTCTCTCCCTCTCCCTTCCTCTCTGAAATCAATAAAGATATATTTTTAAAAGTACAGGTAATTTCTTTTAAAGATAAAATAAAATGAATAAACATATTTTTGGTGAGGAGTTTTTAAAAAGCAGGGATAGCCCAGTGCACAGCAGCAAGAGAAGCTGGTCGTGCAGGAGGGGGACTTGTCTTTTTTGCTGTCTGTAAGATGTGCAAGGAAGAGGGAGGAATACATACACTGTGCTCACCTCCTCCCATGACCACATCAAAATTACAACTAAATTTTAGAATAACCACCCTTGAGAGTCACCTGAAGAGTAGCTGAAAAGAGAACTCTTCTAACTACGGATATAAAAAAGCCCCATGGACACTGGTAGGAGGGTGGAAATAAGATGAACTGGTTCCACACCTAGGAACGTCAATTAAGAATCAGGAGGGGTATCTGGGCTGCGGAGGTGCCCCGAGGAGTGAGCAGTCCCAGCTCCACACAGGGTTCCCCAGCCTGGACCACCAGTGCTGGGAAGAGAAGTCCCCACATCTGGCTGTAAAACCAGCAGGGATTCCATCCATGTGAGATGAAAGGCTGCTGGGGTCCCAGGCATCCTCTTAAAGGGCCCTCCCATGGACTTACTTCCTGAGGAATTCATTCGATCTGAGCTCCAGTGCTGGACAGCAGCCCCGAAGGGACATACAAGTAGGAACTGAACTGTCTGGCTTTAAGGCGAGGACTGGAGGGGAAGCGCTCTCTGCCAATTTATAACTTTGTTGAGCCATCCCCTCCCACAGAGTCTCCAGGATATGCAGGTACCAAATCTGTGTCCATCAAACTCATCCAACCCTGTTGATTCCCTGAGAACCCTCCACCCACCTTGTGCACAGGCCCTAACCTCTTTCAGGCTTCAGCCCACACTGTGGTCTTCCCTAAAATCTCTGAAAGGTACACAAACCTTTCAGCATGCCCTGTGCACCTTGCCAAGCAGCCGCCAACCCTTTGCTTAGTGGCAGCTAGCCTTGGTTCACAGCTGAGTCTCTCCTAGGCATCTCCAAGCCCAGCACAGGCAACTACCAACCACAGATCAGTTTTTAGGTCCTACCAGGTGGCTTTGGACTGGGTATAGGCAGTAGGTGCCCTGGGCATGCACTGGAGACCTCCCAAAAGGCCCAGAACCAACACACCTGGCGACCAGCTTCAGACCACACCAGAGTACCACCTGATTAGCTCCACAAACAACACAGCAAAAGGGTGAACTCAGCAGGCACCAGAGCCCTGCAATAGTGAATCCCACTCCATGGGGTCAGCCCACACACAACAGCTCATCTGCTATAGTCATGGCAAGCAATCTGCTAGAGATAGAGTTCAAAACACTGGTCGTAAGGTTGCAATTAACTTAGGGGAAGAATAGGTAAACTCAGTGAGAACTTCAACAGGGCAGGAAACATAAAAACGGAGGTAGAAAATATAAAAAGAACCTGTCAGAAATAAAGAATGCAATAACTGAAATTGAAGAATACATTAGAGGGAATCAATAGCAGGATAGATGAAGCAGAGGACTGAATCAGCAACTTGGAAGGCAAGGTAGTGGAGAGTACCCAGTCAGAACAGCCAAAAAAAAAAAAAAATAATAAGAATCAAACAACAAGAACAAAATAGCATATTTAAGGGACCTCTGGGACAACATCAAGCATACCAACAGTCACATCATAGGGGTACCAGAGGGAGGAGAGAGAGAACAAAGGATTGAAACCTATTTGAAAAAATAATGACTGAAAAACTTGCCTAACCTTTTGAAAGAAATAGACTTACATGTCCAGGAAGCAGAGTCCCAAACAAGATGAGCCCAAAGAAGCCCACACCAAGACACATCATAATTAAAATTCCAAAGGTCAAAGACAAACAGAGAATCTGAAAAGCAGTGAGAGAAAAGCAGTTAGTTTACCTACAAGGGAGATCCCATAGGACTGTCAGCTGATTCCTCAACAGAAACGTTGCAGGCCAGCGGGATTGGCATGAGCTATTCAAAGTGATGAAAAAGAAGGACCTACAACCAAGATTACTCTACCCACCAAAGCTATCATTTAAAATTGAAGGAAAAAATAAAGACTCCCTAGATAGGCTCTGGCCAGGGTGGCTCAGTTGGTTGCAGCATTGTCCCGTGCACCAAAAGTTATGGGTTCAATTCCCCAGTCAGGGTACATACCTAGGTTATGGGTTTGATCCAGGTGAAGCCGCATATGAGAGGCAACCAATACATAGATGTTTCTCGAGCTCTCTCTCCTGCTTCCTCCCTCTCAAAAAAAAAAAAAAAAAAGTGCTCCCCCGGCAAGAAAATGCTAAAGGACTTCATCATCACCAAACCAGTATTACAAGAAACGTTAAAGGTTAAAGGAGCTTCTTTAGGAAGGAGAGAGAAAGGGGGAGGAGGAAGAAGAAAAATAAGATATAAATATTAATAATAAAATTGCAATAACTATATACCTATCAATGATTACTTTAAATGTAAATATATTAAATGCTCCATACAAAAGAAATAGGGTAGCTGAATGAATAAGAAAACAAGACTCAAGTGTCCACTGACAGATGAGTGGATAAAGAAGGTGTGGTACATACATACAATAGAATATTACCTGGCCATTAAAAATTAATAAAATTCTACCATTTGCAACATCATGGATGAACCTAGAGCAGCCGTGGGCCGGATCCGGCCTATTTGAAATGAATAAAACTAAAAAAAAAAAAGACCGTACCCTTTTATGTAATGATGTTTACTTTGAATTTATATTAGTTCACACAAAAACTCCATCCATGCTTTTGTTCCGGCCCTCCGGTCCAGTTTAAGAACCCATTGTGGCCGAAACCAGTTTGGCTCAGTGGATAGAGCGTCGGCCTGCGGACTGAAAGGTCCCAGGTTCGATTCCGGTCAAGGGCATGTACCTGGGTTGTGGGCACATCCCCAGTAGATGTGCAGGAGGCAGCTGATCGATGTTTCTCATCGATGTTTCTAACTCTCTATCGCTCTCCTTTCCTCTCTGTAAAAAATCAATAAAATATTTTTTTTTCTAAAAAAGAACCCATTGTGGCCCTCGAGTCAAAAAGTTTGCCCACCCCTGACCTAGAGGGTATTTATGCTAAGTGAAATAAGTCAGACAGAGGAAGACAAATACCATATGGTATCATTTATATGTGGAATCTAAAAAACAAAGTAAGTGAACAAAAACAGAAACAATCTCATAGATACAAAAAACAAATTAATGGTTGCTGGGTAAAAGGGGTGTTGAGGGCTGGGTGAAAAAGGCGAAGGGATTGAAAAGTACAAACTGGCAGTTATAAAATAGTCACAGAGATGTAAAAGACAGCATAGGGAATATAGTCAATAACATTGTAATAACTATATACGGTATCAGGGGTACTAGACTCATGGGGGGATCATTCTCTAAGTTATACAAATGTCTAACCACTATGCTGTACATGTGAGACTAATATAATATTGAATGTAATTGAAAAAAAAAATTTTTAAAAAGGAAAGATGTGCAAGGATTGTTTGCCCTGGAAGGGAATGGACCCAGCCTATGAAGTCAGGCACCCGAGATGCACAGGACACGAGGTTGCTTCAACTTCAGAGTAGAGACTTCAACATCTTCACCACTCTGACATGCTCCTGACACACACACATTTTTAACATGTTGCACACATGGACTATGACAGTGAAAAGTGGCATCGCATTTTCAAAACACCTGCTTCTCCAGGCAGCACTGACTGAATCTGTGAACCTTTGCCTGCAGCCTCATCCGCCCTGTACTCCACGGCCCAGCTCCCCTCAAAAGCCCCCCCGTCTCCCCCAGTCTTTCTAGGCCTCCCTGATGCCCTGCTCTGAGCTTCCCACGTCAGTATAGGAATTAGCTCGGGGTCAATTGGTCTCCCTACAAGAGCACAACTTCCTCCTGGACAGAAGCCTCGTCCATCTGCACGGAGGACCTGGCACTACCCACAAGGAGCAGGAAGTAGTGGGCTACCACAGCCGAGCTGGCACCTGACAAACTGGCTTTTTGATGGAACAGGCCCAGTTTGGCTCCCGTCTCATCCTCGATCTCACTCTGTCTCTTTCGCTCCATTTCTATCTTCCTTGGGCAAAGGTCACCCCATCTGGGCTGAGCCCACAAGAGGGTCAGTGTGGTTCATCTCTAAGTTCTTAACACTGGAGTTTCTGAACCACAGACGTGCCCTCCGGTTCACAAGCGCTGCCGGTGCCCATGTTTACTCGCTTTGAATAGATGTTGTGCCAGAACCTCAGGCTTACTCTTCCCACCATGCACAACAGGAAGCAAATGTTGCTCATCTCACCTCTTCCATTTCCTCTTTCTGTCGCCCCCACCGGCTGGCCCCTCCAGCCACCTGACGTGTTGTCTTTCCTTGTGTACATCTGCCCATATGTGCTCTTGTGTACATCTGCCCATCTGTGCTCAGAGGGCCTGGGGGGGGTGGGGGAGCTGCTTTCTGCTAAAGTTGGGGGAGGTGGTTTTGCAACCTCTTCACGACTCACCAGTCCCTTGCCTTGGTACAAACATATGTGTTCGAAATCAATATATTTATTGATTTGTCAAAATATCTTCAACCACATTTTACATGTAAAAGTTCTTGTAGTCATTCTCCAGATGCCTCCTCTGTGGGTCAGGCCAAGCTGAAGTGATCACACCCATTTTGTAGACAGGGTTGTCAAGGCTCGGAGATGGAAAGTCGCTTGCCCAGAAACACAGGTGATAGGAGCCTCCTGCACTTGCTGACTACCCACCCGAGTGCTCTCTTGCCCACAGGTCCATGAATATTCTGTTTAATTCTTTGCTCCTTCTCTCTAGCCAGCCCTCTCCACCTCAGTTAGCTATTCCAGGAAAAAACTTATTTCTTACTCATCTGAGAGTCCCTCCCAGCACAGCCCAGCCAGTACTTGACAAGCAGTAAGACACTCAATAACAGCTACTGAGTGATCACGTGCTCCTGTGTAGAAGGTCTTCCCAGATCACCTTCTCTGACCAGAGACTTGTCCCAGTGCTTTTTGTACACAAAGACTCCACTTCCTGGGGCTGTTTCCCTGTCTGCAGAGCAGTGACAGAGGGCTGGACTTGGTATCCAGTCTCCATCAAGTGACTGGAAACCAGGATGCCCAGCCAGCCAGACATCTGGGAAGGCGAACAGCAGCAGTTGGCCATCCCCTCAGGTACCAAGCAAAGAAGACAACATCGTGGAGAGCTTTGGAAGCTGCTGCTGTTAAAAACAAACAAACAAACAAAAAACCAATTTAATCCTACAAGCAGTTAATTTAGGTTCTTTTGTAAGATTAACTTGACCTTGGTCATACCTCTGAAACATGAGCAAAACTTGAGCTGTTTCCCAAGGTAGAAAGAGGTAACCACTGATCAATTCCCTGTCATTTAAGAAAATCCTAGTATTACAACCAGTCACTGTGTAAGCTGCTTTATAACAACACACCCTGAGCTCCATTCCATGCTTTAGCTTGTGTGCTCCCAGTTTGCAAGCTGTCTTTCTGGTGTGCACAGTGATCTTGCACTCATCACTGCTCAGTGGCTCAATGGTTTCCCTCCGGCATATATTTATGACTCTCTGGCAGTGTTCACAGCTGAGCCTGGGAGTGGGTGGAAGGCGTGGACAGGCTGAGCTTCCTGCTTGCTGCAGCCAATTTCATTCTTCAGATTATTTTCTTTTCAACACTTTCAAAGTCTTGGAAACTGAAACGCCTACTGCCAATCAACAGTCTAGAAATGAAACGCCTACTGCCAATCAACAGTCTAGAACTGGAAGCCTTGCCTGACACTCCCTTCACCTTCCCACCCCATCTGTCCATCCGGGAGGCCCTCCCCCAGTGTCTGTCTAGGGCCCAGGTTGCCTGATGCCTCCACTCCTACCCTCGACCCCCAGCCAGTAGGCTGTCTGCACTCTCCTTCCAAATCCAGAGGTTTCCCTCTCTTTACCAGACAATTTTGTAGTTTTATTAAGTTGCTTACTGCATTTGAGGGTATATCAAACTTATACCCTCAAAGTGCCAGAACAGTATAATGAACTCCTCTGCATCCATCATCCGCTTCAACAATATCAACTAGTGACCCATCTTTTTCGCCTACACTTCCATCCACCTACCCCTTCCTATATTATTTTGAAGCAAATACCAGGCATCATATCATGTGATCTGTACATATGTGCCTTTAAATGATATTCACTTTGACCATGGTCACACCTAAAAAAAGTTAACACTAATCCCTTAATATGATCAAATAGCCAGTCACTGGCCTCATCCATTTTTTCCTTAAGTTTGTTTGTTTGAATCAGCATCCAAATGAGGTCCACACACTGTGAGTGGTTGCTGTATTTTGTAAACCTTTAAAACTCTACAGGTTTCCTCTCACCTCCATCTTTTTGCTTTTCCTCACAACTTACTGAAGAAACTGGTTGTCACCCTGCATGTAAAGTTCCCCACAGCCTGGGTGTGCTGTACGTGTCCTCGGCGGGTTTAACACGCCTCTCTGCACTGTGTTTCATGGAGGTTGGAAGTCTGATCAGATTCAGGTTTGATGCTGCGTGGGTAGCGCTGTTCATGCACCCGGAGGCACAGACTGCCTGGTCATTGCTCTTCTTATGGAGGTGTGTGGGGTCGATGCCCAGATCCATTCAGTCTTCGCCGGTTGTACAAGGGTGGCTGGCTTACTTTTGACCACTTATGGTCTCCTCCTGCAGACTCTTTTTTTTTTTTTAATATATTTTATTGATTTTTTAGATTTTTTACAGAGAGGAAGGGAGAGATAGAGAGTTAAC